CGGCCACCCGCGCGCACGGGGGCGGCGGGGCGCAGAGCCGGGCTGCGCGCGCCTGCTGATGCAGCGGGAGCCCGACTCGCGGGGAGGAGGCTCCGCGTTAGGTGCTGAAGGGGGCGAAGGCGGCAGGTCCTGGCAGAGGGCAGGTGAGGCAGGCAGGCCCTGGCAGAGGGAAGGGAATTCGTTCCAGATCACCCCTCGGTGTCTCCCGGTAGACGGAACCTGTTCACCCAGGTCACCCGTGATGGGCACAGTGTCCCGCGAAGAGGGAGGATGCAGCTGACGAATGCTTACGGTTACATTCCCCGTGCCAGGCCTTGGGGAATCAGGGAGACCTTCCAGCATTCTCTGCTAGCGTTTATTGATTAGCTACGGAGACAACCGCGGTCAGCCCCGGGGTCATGATTTAGTCACTCCCAGCCATCATTTGCTGTTGAAGTGCTGACAGTTGGGCGGGGAAAGTATGTACATAAAATGTAAAGCGCTCACTTTCACGTCTCTTGTTCTGTTCACTTCAGGTCTCTTTAGTCTGTGTCCCAACCCCGGGAAATTGGAGCCCTAAGTTGCTTGGGTTTTGGAGAAAGCAGGGTACTGGAGGGAAGCTGGTGGGAGCTATTGAGAGAAGAGGTTGGAAGGGTCTTAGTGACATTTAAAAGAGAGAGAAAGGAAAATTTGAAAGAGAATCTTGCCTTCCCAACTAGAATTAAGCTCCGTGCCTGTTTTCTGCTCAGTCCTCAGGATGTGGCCTGGATCCCAGTAGTCCTGCAGTTGATGGCCACTGTGTGCGTGAATGAAGGAAGCAGGGGTTTGATACATTTTATGTGGAGTGGTGGCGGTCTCTCTCTGGTCCTCACATTCTCTTTTTGCCTCCTTGAGTAACCCAGTGTTTTAGGCGCTGGATAGGTTAAAACAGTGGCCCGGGTAGCAGACTCCAGTGGTTTGTGGCCACTCTTCTGCATCCACGTGGTTCTTGCGTGTTGGGCACCAGGGGCTTGTTCTTTGGGTAGTTGTTGAGATCCGGTCCTTCTCTCATTTTTGGAGCAGGATGGAGGGTGCCTTTGCCTAAGAACACTATTATAAATTCTGTTCTGCCTTTTGGGTCTTGGCTTTTAGGTGCGAGAACGCTTGGTCAGCTCGGTCAGGGCTGGAGTTCTGTCCTCTGCCTGGGTTGGACTCTCCAGCCCCGGGCTGCTGTTTCCTTTCCCTGGCTTGCAGTGCTTGTTGGGTTACTTTGCTTGCCAAATTAAAACTTGACCTTTTATGAGTTCTCTGAGGATTTTATCAGACATAAGTGGAACTGCCTCGGGGGGGGGGGGGTGTGCATTCAAGGTGGTGCTGGCGAGGTCTTTACGTTCAATGAATTTTGCCTGGGAAACAGAATTTCTACTTATAGTTAAAATATTAGAGTTCATGGGATTTCAAGGTACCATTTATTTCATGTCTTTGATGTTAACATATCTGAGCCTTAGTTTCCTCAGCTAAAAGAATAATACTAATCCATATTTGTCATCGCATATATAGTAAGCTTTGAAGTTCATATATTTATTTCATTTTAGTTAGTATCTGCACTTCGCAGAGCAACTGTTAAGTGTCTAGTAAGTTTTGTTTTGGGGTATCTATGTGGCCATGTGATTTTGGGTGCAGGCTTTTCTAAGATTTTTAAATATTTAACCTACTTTTATTTCGAAATCAACCCCCCCCCATTTTTTTGAAACAGTGCCATGCTGTACCCAGCTGGCCTGGTACTCACTATACTGTAGCCAAGGCTATAGGTTGACCTTGAAGTTATGGCTGTTCTCCTGTCCGTCTCCTGTGTGAACCACCATACCTGGCTAAAACAAGCTTTTTTGTTGTTGTTGTTGTTTGTTTGTTTCTTTCCGAGACAGGGTTTTTCTGTGTAGCTTTAGAATGTATCCTGGAACTTGCTTTGTAGATCAGCCTGGCCTAGAACTCACAGAGATCCACCTGCCTCTGCCTCCCGAGTGCTGGGATTAAAGGTGTGCGCCACCATCACCTGTCTGTTGATTTGTTTTTAAGACGGTCTGTGTAGCCCTGACTGACTTTGAACTTGTGGCTATCTCCTGTCTATGTTCTGGGATTAAAGGTGTGTGCTACTGTGCCTTCCTGATGTATAGTTTACATATGATAAATGAGCAGATTTTACATGATGAGTTGGATGTTTTGAAAAACCATACATGTAGAGGATGTGGTGGCACATGACGTTAAATCCCAGCCCTCAGGAGGCAGAGGCAAGCTGATCACTGTGAGGTCAAGACTTGCCAGGGTTATATAGGGAGACACTGTTTCAACAGAAAATAAAAACCAGTGGGAAACAAAATAACAAAAGCCCACCCCAAAGAAAACAAAAACAAAGAAAACCATGTATACTTTGTAACCTATCCCAACTGAAGTATATACATTTGTATCACCAGGTTACTCATGTTGTCATGGGGACAACCCCCCATTTTATTTATTTCAAATTGCACAATTAGAAATTGTGGTTTCTAGTTGTACTGCTAGTTTGCTGTCCAGTTTTAGGGGTGTCTTTTGCCTTGGAGTTTCTGGAGTTGTAGTGCAACTTAGAATGCATACTTAATTATAAAATACTTGGAATAAAAAAAAAATCACTCTTGATATACCTACTTTTTCTACTGCTTACCAATTTGTTGTTTTCTTCCCGGGACCTTTTTCTATGCATTTTACTTTTTTGTGTGTATATGTGATATGCATGAGTGTGCATATGGGTATCCATGCACATGTGTGTACATGCCTGTGAAAGCCCAAAGTTGACACTGAATGCTCTCAACTTATTAAGTTCAACCCCCTGCTAAACCTGGAGCTGGTCAGTTTGGCTAGTTTAGCTAGCCAGTTTGCTCTGGTGATTTCCTACCTGTGTTCAGGGTGCTGCTGTTATAGGTGGCTGCCACACTTGCATGGCTTCTATGTTGGTTCTAGAGATTTGAACTCCAGTCCTTAGGCTTGCGTTGCAGCAAGTGCTTTTATACATTGAGCTATTGCCAACTCTCTCTCTGCATTTTACTATAGCATACTGTCTGTATTGCTCTGTAGCTTTTTTTCTAATGAATTATTTTTTGAGATTCTTTTTTCATGTTGGAACATAGGAATCTATCTGAGTTGTCTTTGCTGTGTGATATCTTAGTAGTATGTAGTGTATTGTATTTAGTATATCTAATAATCTCTTCATTAATTGTAATTGTTCAGTGATTGGAAAGCAAATACACCTTCCAGTCTAAGGCTTTCCTTTAAATCTCTCTCTCTCTCTCTCTCTCTCTCTCTCTCTCTCTCTCTATTTAGTTGTAGGCTTCAATGTCATAAATATATGAAAAATTTCTTTTAGTGTCTCCAGGTGTATGTGTATGTATTTCCCAAGCTGCTGATATGGCTCAGCAGGTAAAGGCAGCTGTCACCAGTCCTGACGACCTAAGTTCCATTCCTGGAACCCACATGGTGGATGAAAAGAACTGACTCCTGTGGGTAGTCCTATGACCTTCACATACTATAGCATACGGGTATCCATATACATACATACAAATAACTATAGTAAAGAATAAAAAATTGATTTTCTCTATTTCTGTTCTCTATCTTTTATTTCCTGGTTTCTTTTACTTAGTAATATGTATTTATGGTTCTTCTATATCTGTTTATGAACTGATAGCTTATTTCCTTTTAGCAACAAATACTATTCCATTCAATGAAGATATCAATTTTTTATTTAGTCATTTCATGAAAGTTTTTAGTAAATATGAATAAAAGTGTTGTTGTGATCTGTGTAGTTTTTTTTTGTAGATACAATTTTTTTAACATACTTGGATAAATTAGAAGTACAATACTAGATCAGAATTTACCAGTTCAAGTAAATGTTGGCTGTGTATTCCATATCAAATATATGTTTGGCTGTATAGGAAACTACTAAGCTGGCTTCCAAAGTGACAGTTTTGCATTGGCAATGATTTTTAACATTTGTGTCTAAGTGCCCCTAAATGTACTAGCTAAATCAGTCTTGTCATGCTGTCTGTGAACTCAATGTCTGGGATGAATTAATGTTAGTTACTGCTGTTGATAGCTTACTTATAGCATGTTTTGCTCTGTGTGATTTGAAGTTTTGACTTACGGATTTGTAGTGAGTCTTTATCTATTCTGCCAGACAGATCCCAAACCACAATACAGAGACTTCTTATTAATTATGAAAGCTTGACCAATAGCTTACGCTTGTTTCTAACTAGTTCTTATAACTTATTTAACCCATATCTTTTTATCTATAGTCTTTTATGTGTCTCGATTACCTTTACTCTGTAAAGCCCATGCTGCTTGCTCTGTGTCCCTGGCATCTCCTCCATATTCAGCCTTCTTTCCAGCATCCTCTCTGTCCTGAAAATCCTGCCTAGCTATTGGCCATCCAGCTTTTTATTAAACCAATCACAGTGACATATCTTTATACAGTGTAACCAAATATCTCACAACGTGGATTCATTCTGCTTTGAATGCCCCCCTCTCTCTCTCTCTCTCTCTCTCTCTCTCTCTCTCTCTTTCTTCCCCTTTTTTGATTTTTCAAGACAGGGTTTCTTTATGGAGCCCTGGCTGTACCGGAACTCACTCTGTAGGCTGGCCTTGAAATCACAGAGCTGCCTCTGCCTCTCAAGCGCTAAGATTAAAGATGTGCACCACTACCACCTGGCTTGAGTGTCTTTTCCTTTCCTTTTCTGTGCTCAGCCCTTTGTAAGTCATATATGGGATTTCAGGTTCAGCTCGCCTGCAGGGGTCCCAGTCTAGAGTCAGATATGACTGGGGACCAAGGGTTCTGCCCTTGGAGGTAGCTGATTTAGATCTGCTCATAAATGTTGGTCCTGGTTCAATTCCTGGCCACAAATCTGTTTGCACCTACCCTCTTTTCTATACCCGAAGCATTACATAATCTGCATTCTCCACAGAGACTGACAGTGGCATTTTCAGTTTCTTTCCAGCTCTAGTCTTATCCCTGGCTTTCGGCAATGAGTCTGGTTTAGGTGCCTCATGTTCTCCACCCTCCCCTGCCTGGAACTGTGCTCCCCTGCAGGAGGTGCAGGTTCTGGACTTGGAATTCAGAAGTCATAATTATGTCTCTTGTTGTGGAAGTTTTTCTTGTTTT